TATTTAGGCTTTACTAAAGTAGTCTACGGCATGCTCTATTTGCTTGTCTATCATCGGTATTCGCTTGTGAACGAGACAGGGCCCCCACATAAACGCGATACTTTTGCTTGACACTAAAGTAGTCTGAACGAGATACTGTGACATGACCCCCTACTTAAGTAGTCTAAACAATGAAAAAGGGGCCCCATATCATATATAGACAAGTGTCTGATAGAGATGATAATGTCTATACAGTCGAGTCTAGTACCCCAGAGATAAAAAAAAGAAAACACGCGTACCGCACCATCCAATTCACAACACATAACCCCCCTAACCTTGGCCTCCAGTTGTACCTCCGTTTCGGTTCGGTGGGACTGGGGCCGCAGGACCGAGGCTCCGTGGGCCTCTTCGGCGCCGCGGCGCTGATCGCTTTGATGGTCCGGCGACGGGGCGGACCGGGTAACCGGGGTAACCGGTTGAGACCTACGGCGAGGGTAGCTGTGGTGGGGGGCGTTTTGTTTTTTCTCCGTGTTTTTGGGTGTTTTTTGGCCACCAGGAGTGGAAAGGCATAGAAAGGGATTAGAAGAAAAACACATAGTTGTCCAGAAAGAGGCGTTTTGGCGGACAAGAAAGAGGTGAAAGAGACAGGAGAAGAACCGAAGACTGAGCCTTTGAGTTGATGGATGGCCTTCAAATAGATAGACCAGTTTGGGGATTCTTAGTTCACTGGCTGGAGCTGATTGTATCCCTAGCAATACATAGTATACTCCACTCCAACTCACTCACATGGAAGTGCACACATATGAACACATGCATGTTCAGAAAGAAATGCATGGCATGGTCCTTGGTCAAGGCTATCGCTTTGCTCGCCATGTTTGTGACAAGCATGTGATGTGTGCGTTGCTGCGCATCCATCGGAGCGTCGTTTTCCTCACGCAGGTCTTGAAGTTGGTGGCGACGGCCTTCTCTTCGGTTAGTGGCCTGGTGGGTGGTGCGCCGTGGGCGGATCAAAGGACTGATGTATCGGTGTTTGGAAAGATGTAATTAATTATTATGTGAAATTAGTAATTAGACTAGGTATAAATAGTAGGTATGCTTGTGGCCGGGCCGTTGTCCAGGATCAGCAAATATGGGGTTCTCAAGCGTGTGCTTGAACTTGTGTTCCCTGCATGTGTTGCTCAACGGACCAAGGTTTGTCCGTAGCGAAGAGAAGAGAAGAGAAGAGACACTCAAACGTTCAACTTCCAACATGACCTTCGGTCTAGTTTGTTTTTCCTTGTCCTCCATGGAGAGCCATGGCTCCAAAAAGAAGGCTTTACTGGCATGTTTGGGCCAAGAAAGGAGAGACAAAATAAAAAGGAAGAGAAGAAAAGACATGTTAAAAACAAACATAGAATCCAGTATATATAATAAAGTGCGTTTTCTTTTCTCAAAGTATTGGCAAATTTCTATATTTAATACCTTTTGCAATAGAGTGTTAGCATATATAAAGCTATTGTTTCTTTAAAGAAAACCATTTACATCCTATATATAGTGTTGTCAAAAACAATATCTTTTTGTTGAATCAGAACATGGCTCAACTATATGAAACCTTTTGATTTTAATCATTGGACCTTGTTGCGCACGAATGAAGTGAA